TATTCAGTTTTATTTGATGAAACAACTGACATATATGGTATTGAGCAATTGTCTTTGAGCTTACGATATGTTTACAACGGCCAGGTTAGAGAAGATTTTGTTGCATTTGTGGATTCTCTAGAGGATGCATACAAAGATATAGAATCGGAACCAAAATTAACCGGAAAAATGTTAGCCGGCTCAGTGTTACGTTTACTAAAAGCGCTAACTTTAGATCCACAGCATTGTGTTGGTTGTGGAACAGATGGATGTTCTGTCATGACATCTCAGTCATGTGGTGCAGCTGCAGAAATATCAAAAAAAGCTACATCATGTATTCATTGTGTTTGTACTAACCATGGACTGAACTTGAGTTTATCTAAAACATCCGATGTACAAGCCATAAGAAATGCAATGGGCACTATTAAGCAAACGGCTTCCTTTTTTCGCGCATCGGCCAAAAGAAAATTAGTGCAAAGAATAATGTTTAAAAATGAAAGTCAAAATTTGAGACAAAATGTCATGCCTTTATGTGAGACACGTTGGGTTGAACGCCATGATTCGATTATCATTTTTAGACAGTTCCTACAATATGTTCTAGCTTCTTTAGAAAATATTGCTAATTGGCATGACAGAGAAACATCATCCAAAGCAAAGACGTTGTTATCGGCTTTAACTGATTCTGAATTTTTAATAGCTTTGTACTCAATTGCCGATCCATTAATTCTAACTAAGCCACTAAGCAAAGTTTTACAAACAGAAAATTTAGATTTGGTCGAGGCAGCTCAACATGCTAATAGAGTCATAGATAATCTTCAATCTAGAAGAGAAAATGTTGAGCAAATATTTCATGATATCTTTACGAGAGTTTCTAAAGTTGCAGAGGAACTGAATATTGAATTAAAAATGCCAAGATGTATAGAAAGACAAGTAAATCGTGCAAATATTAAAAGTAACTCATTAGAAGAATATTTCAGGATTGCTATATTTATTCCCAAGCTAGATAGTATGATAACAGACATGAAATCAAAATTTGGGACAATCCAAATAGCTATAATGGGTTTGAGTCGTTTGATACCTTCAGTTTTCCTCCGAATAGTGAGGTCGGTTAGTGAAAAATTATTTCACTTCCGGACCCCAGCAAGCCGTTTTGGATATTGATAGATAACATGATTTGCTACTGAAAAATAACGGGACACAAACATTTTGTTCAAAAAAAAATTTTTTTTCACTATTTAAAAAATTAATTAGATTTTATTAAAAATTTTAATTGAACAATAATTTTACACAACATTTAACTTCTTTATAAACATAAAAAATTGGAAAAAGTTATGAGAACTATAGTAAGAAAAATGTAATAGTCGGTAAATAATAAGGTAAGACCAAAAAAAATTATGTACATTTCATATGAATCTAAGGTAAGTACTCTTTAATCATCAAACAATCATCATTAAACAGAAAATTAGTATCAACTTCTGTATTTTCATCATCCGAATATGTATCTAAGTTAATCGAATCATGACTGATTGGCTCTTCACTGCAATCTCCATTACATGCGCAAAGCTTTGTACATCGTAACTCGCCGCGTCTACACTTACAATTTCGGCAAACTTTTTTGCAGGAACATTTCACAAGTTCAGAACAATGCAAAGATACGTCAGGAATTGTAGTCCACAACAATCCATAAGTCCATCAGTCAGTCGCTCCAT